ATATATATATATATATGTAAATAACCCTTTTATTCTTACATTTTTTAGGGATTTACATACGTACCCAAAACTTTCATTATTACATATTTCAAACCAAAATTTCTTTATTTACATATTACACATATAAAACAACGCCTTCCGGTTAAAACAATAACCCCATTAAAAAAAAGGAGAAAATATCTCGGTTACCGATCACAATTTTTTTTTTTTTTTTTTTTTTTAAATCCACCGAAATACAATTTTATTACCATCGACGATCTAGATCGTGCATATATGTGTTGCCCGTATGAAATAATTTTTCAAGGAAACAAGGAAACAAGAGATAAAGTCTTTTTTCTCCTTCCCCCCCTGATGTCCGATAACCAGAAAATCGGCAATGGGATAGCGACGTACAAATACATCTAACTCTCATCCCTTTCCTCCTCCCACTCTGCTACTACACTAAACCATTGAGGAAGGTAACCTCCTCATTCTTACACATTAGCCTACCTGCCCTTTGCACGCTTCCTTTAAATCCTCTAAATCTTACATTCCAAGTTAATTTAATTAATCTTGGGTTTAAGACAAAACAGAGGAAAGATGAAAGCTGCAGGAGTTAGAGATTTCATTCTTGCAGTTTAAGGATCCTAAATCCCACTGCTATCGAATAGCCATTAACTTGCCATTCATCAGAATCGTGAGCTCCCGTGGTGGTGGCGTGAGATTTTGCTATAACTGCTAAACATAAATAAAAGAAACCAAGTTTTTTTTTACTGCAATGATGGGAGTTTCTGAATATGCTATAGTCCGCCGAGCTGGACGGGCCCAATGCTGAATAACTAGATAAACTTATATGCGGTGGTTTGACAAAGTAAGTTCTATGCAAAAGTGCGTTTAGCGGTTGGATCAAGGATAAAGTTATGACGAACAATGGACGAGAGCGGCAAGTTTGCGGTGTGCCTAGCAAGTGAAATTACAGCATGTGCAGTTTGAAAGGCTTGGGTAGGCCATCGGTTGCCATCAGACTGATGGAAGGACGCTGGAAATGGGAATAAGCATAATTGGCCTAAGAGAAGCTGATCTGCAATGAAACGCATTTCTCATGATTTTTTTAATTTATTTTATTTTTTAAAAGACACAACTCGAGGGTACTAATTCATTTGTAGGAATTATTTGATAACAAATATTTGAAATGTGACAGTTCAGAAGTATACCACCCAAAATTTTCTTTTCACATTAACTAATCTTTATTTGAATTTTTAAAAATTAAAATACACCTTTTCGTGCAAGATGGAATATATGCAAAAACTAAAGTTCATGTGTTATATATATATATATATATATATAGAGAGAGAGAGAGAGATGAAAATTGATTGATATGTTTGTAAATTATTCTATATTAAAATTAACTTCAACCATACAACACATTTATGCATATTAAGGCCCCGATTGAAGAGGCTATAACATTTTAGCAATTCCATCTAAAAGCAAATTCAGAGAAAATAGCGTATTAAAATTTTAGCCCGTGACAAAGAATTAGTGTTTGAATGTTCGATGTTTTGGCTCTATTTTTTTTTTTATGATGCTAAAATTAAAATCCTATTTAACCCCGCCACCTCTCCACCCTAGATCAATTCGAGAGCAAACCAGTAGATCCATCGCAAGCTTCGCCCTTTATGCAGAGGATGTTCAATTTGTATAATGCCTTGCAAATTCAAAATTGTGTAAACATGAATCACAAAGACATCTTGTGATAGAAGAAGAAGTGATGTGGCCCAGCGAGCCTGCCAAGGACCACATGATTGGCTGGTAGCTCACGTGTACCGGAAGGATGGTGCGTGGCCAAATGAAAATATGTTGAGATTTTCATACCTATTTTACACTATTTTTTATGATATTGCACTTTAAAGAAAGGTATTTTTGATGTTTTGTTGCAGGTATGATGAATTATGGTTATCGGAGCAAAAAGATGCAAAAAAGAGCGAATTTGGAGCGAAAAGGACCAAAATGTGAAGAACTGAACTAGGGCGCCGACGGCGAGCCCAACAGCTTCGTCGGTGAGATTTTTCAGAGCCTCCAGATCAATTAATTTAGAAGGCCCGCCGACGGCGCCCTCGAGGCCGCTGACGGCAAGATCGATGCTTATTTCCAAAGGTGCATTGAATGTGGATGATTTTTGGAGGGATGCTTAGTCAACTCTTAGGAAAACGCATCTACATCTTTAAAGGAAAATTTTGGCCAAAAATTGAGAGGGTTCCGGGAGAGTTGCAAGTGTTTGGAGAGTGTAGAGAGTTTACTTTAGGGTTAGATTGTGAGAAATTCTTCAAGAGATTGTAAGAGTGGAGGGAAAGTGAGAGATTTCTTCCTCCTTGCCGCTTCAAAGAAGAATTTTGTGTGCTGTAAAGAAAGGAAGAGATTCAGAGAAACTTCGAGGAGTTTGCTCGCGGGGAGGAATTAGAGAAGTGTTATTTACTT